TAGAGACATAGAAGTATTGTATTGACAGCTGCATAAAGATAAAGATTAAATGGCAACGAAAAGCACTGATTTTCTTTCATTTACATAGGTGCAAGGTGAGCAACTTGAGTAATTTATCACACATTGGCAATAGTCATTCTCACCTGAAATGATACCACATTTATAAACAATCTGAAGTTTGAATAAATTAGGTTCCAGTCCTAAAACTCCCTACAAATATTTTGGAAGCAATTCCTGACAAAACAGCTTTTAGGAAGTCAGGATCAGGCATGAACTAAGTGATTCTAATGATTCCCTGCCTTCCATTGGTATCCCTATTAGCCAAAATGCTGCATTCCCACTTTGGTCTGTTATAAATTATTTCTAGAGTTTCAAATAAATATGATCTTTCCACTTTATTTCAATACTTTTGGTATTTGTATTGTAAAACAAGCTGTAGCATTTACTGCAGAGCTGGCAGCATTCCAGAGAGAAATTATTTTTTCATTAATGAAGTTTAAATTGTAAATGGCTTGGAATGAAAAAAGCTGTAATAAGATTAACAATATGTCTCCCTTCTATACCCAGGTCAGTTTAAAAATCTTAAGTGCCTGTTTGATGTTTTAAAAAAAAATAGGAAGAAGGAAAGAGTTAAAAGGCATAAAAATTGAGTATTACTTATTTAGTCCTACCCTTGGCTCAGGGGTTTGGTCTCTAACTGCAGGAACCTTTACAAGCCCAAAGGAGAAATGCATCACTCTGGACATTTTATAAAGGCGGAGTCATTTTTTGAGATAAAACAATTGTTTTATCGACTTCCTCCTCCTTTGTCCCCTTTCTGTGTAAACATTAGTTCAGGCTCTATTGTTAACTCAGATTTGAACGTGCTTTGATATGGGATTAAAAAAAAAAAAAAGCAGTTGCTGTGAAATCACTTCACCAAGTAGAATTTTGCATTCCTGTTTGTTCTGTAAAAGGACAAATATCTTTCTGACTCCTGCCTTTATAATTTGCTCTGTTTTACGAACCTAAGTATTACTCTTCTGACTTTCAGCTTTTCACAGTTAGCAAGAAAATGGAAATAGGTCCAAGTCCCAAATGACCCATTTTTCTGGACTATTATGTAGAAATTATTGAATCAGAGGTACACAATCACACTCACTACATTAACTAGATCTATACCTGCACACACTTTTAATTAGTACTCTTTTTACATTCATTTGCTTACATATGGAAACAGTTACTTTTAGAAGTAATGTTGCATGAATTCTAGTTTATATTAATGCACAGCCTATAAATATCAAGGATGCCTGCAGTGCAGTAAATGTTCACTTCATTGGCCAGTTTATAACTAGTTTGCATTGTTAAAACCAACATTAACCTAAAGCTCCAGTTTAACCTGTTTGCACAGACACCCGAGGCAGGCAGCAGCTGTCAGGATTCTAGGATTGCAAAGGACAGCTCTGAGTGGCCTCTCCTCTTCCTGACATCTAGGAATCACTTTCCCTTCAAGAAATATTGTAGAAAAGGTCTTTCTGAAAACATTCAGGCAATGGAAAATAACAAATTAACCACTGCATAGGGTCCTGGTTTGGTTTTGCTGTGTAATACTTCAATACTCTAATAACTGGTTTACAACAAGAGCACAGGAAGACAAGATGTGATACAGTAATAATTCTGGTAGTGTTTCACTCTTCTTTCCCTTCTCCCTTGATTCCTGAGAAGAAGAATGGAAAATCTCTACCCCTCTTTTATGATCTTCTTGTAGCTTAAGGGAGAGAGAGGGCAGAGTAATTATTCTCTGTTAGCACTTCATGTTTCCTACTCTGTCATTTCTGGTCTGGGGTTTGTGCATTCTTTTTAGTACATATTTGTCAAAAGATGTATCTCCAAGAATGAACTATAAAGGGAAAATAATAGAAGGTATTGCCATGTCTGGCTGCTGCTGTCCAGTAAATTAATGAGCAATTCTAGCGACTAAAAGTGGCTTTAATTCCAAAGTGTGTGTTTGTTGGCTTGAAGGGGCTGAACACCAAAGCAGTGACAGAGATTGGTGTATAAATACCAAATATAGACCTGTTTTGAATTTTGAAATGTCCAGAGCTAGACTTTCAGTCTAGGAACATGCTATGACTAATAAAAATTAACTGGGATGAAAGCAAGGCAATACCAAGCATCTCACAGTTCCTGCATTTCAGATATATTTTAGCAAAACCACGCTTTTCTACAAGTGCTTAAAACCTATTCACCACAGAGTATGAAAAAATGTGTGATGCTGCATATTCTGAAGACAAAGATCTGCTAGTTTCAGAATAAAGTTGGGTTAGATAGAAATACTTAATTTTTTTAACTCAATAAAATTCTTGGAAAAGTATGTCCCTGTGCAATGACAAAAATCTGCTGTGCAGGAGGCTGCTGGATTGCTTTTATTACAACAGATACTCCCACAGCAATCTAAGCAAGCAGTAAGCCTAGAAACTCGATTCCTCCTCCTTTAGGTAAACACTGAGGCACCGTGGCACAGAACTGATGCATTTCCTAGGTTTCTTCTACGGATGAGGAAGAAATTCAATAATTTTCTGTAAAACTGACAGGAAAATCAGAAAAATATTCCCCTGAACCCAAAGGGTTATGACTGCCTCAAGCTGCAGCTACCCCACAAAACTTAGTAGAATAGTTTCAGGTCAAAACTGATATTTAACTGTCCTAGATGTAATAAAAATAAAATTAATATAAAAATTTTTCCCCTTCTCTGAACTGGTGAAAATGTACAAGATGAGAGCTGCTATTTATTGGAGGAAGAATGTAATTCAAAATGACTGAGGCTCACTTCAGCTGTATATATTTTTACATTCTTGGATCTCAGGAGTCTCCAAACCCTCTTCTGCCCACCTTTACCACAGTTACCACTTTTTTTGTCTTTGGGAACTGTAGAGAATTCAGCCAGTTTCTTTTATCAACAGCTTCTTCCTTCAAAAATCTTCTTCCCATATAGTTCAGCCTCTTCCCAAGTTAATCATCTGGAATGCTGTTTGCCCTCCCAGGTTTTGTCCCCTTACAATCCAAAACTCTGTCAGTTAAAACCACAAACTGTTCAGTCCTCACTCTGTGGAAGGAGAGATTAATCCTTACTTTACCAAATCTAGAGAAAACAGATGTGCAATTTCACGTTTTGAGGTTTTAAAATTTAAAACCAGTTCGTTATCAGAAATGTGTCTAAATACAAACTACGAAGTCAGAAAGGAGAATCTGACTGGTCTGGGAATACCAAAACAGGCCTTCTACCTTAATAACACAGTATAACGAACCATTTTGTCAGAAAAATATGAAATACTCTTGATAAACCATCATACTATGATTAAACTGTCAAAGGAACTTAATTCCTGCTTTATTAACAATGGTTATGACTAAAGGATACTTCTACAACTCAATGAACCCCAGAGTCTGAACATGACAGACTAAACAGTACCTTCATCTAACTGTCTTGAAAAACCAGGTATTTTAAGCAACACTTCTTTCAACAGGATCATTTCCCTCTACAACTCTACTCCCAAAAGTACTCACAGGGCTTGGAACTGGAATTTCCATTAAATAAAGGGGAACTATTCTGCCTACTCAGCATACAAAACCCTCCTGATAGGAGCTCACACAGGTAGACGTAACCAGGTGGACCTGTTTGACCAACAGTTTTATCCCTCTGTACAACCTTATCTTCTCAGTTTCTTAATTTTCTTAATTACCACTTAATTTCTTGCGGTTCAGGTTATCAGATTAATTTCTAACATGAAAGTCTGCCCTAAGTACGTGGGGGTAGGATTAACAATGGTAGGGGTTTTCCCCTCTGGAAATGCAAGCTGGGAATAGCAGGTCATAGTTAAGAGGTGAAAGGATAGTCTTGTTATAAAGCATTAGTTGTGAAACTTGTTGAAAGTCTCAGTAATATAAGCTCTGTGTCACCACACTAGATACTACCTACTGGTATCTAGTTCATGCTCACAGTATTTTAAGTTTTGGAGGCTGATCAGCAAAAATTAACACAGACCAACGTTGTTTGGATGAAATTCTAGCAAAGCCTCTGGCAAAAGAGCCTGGAATTTCACAGCAGATTTCAGAATTAAAGGCATTTAAACCTCACACCGTGAATCAATGAGTGTAAATCGATGAGTTCAGGAGCCACATGTATAGAGACTCAAAGACCAATGTCATTTGTCTGTGTACCACATCTGGCTTGGGAAAGGCTGTACCTGCTTCATGTGCTGCCAAGTGCCTGCTGCAGCAGAACCTTCTCACGAACACAGTTTCTGTTTCAAAGTGCTGCATTACTAAGAAGATTAGGATTTGTCAAATATGAATGGATTGCTCCTATAAGTGGGTCGGAATGTACTGAAATTCTGACGGCACTGCCTTTTAAAGAAGCCAAAAGTAGTGCCATGTAAGGGTATTTAGTGACTGGTTGCATTAATGTCTTTAATTGTTTGTGTTCGGTTTTGTGCCCTGAAAAGTGAAAACTAGGATAAGTTAATAATTTTTGAGTAAGAAAACCCTTTCTTAAAAGGAGAATGCCAAAGACATGTTCTTGGACAGATGTCCTAGACAGATCTTGTTATCAAATAAATTAGGCTGTGCCTAATGTTAGAAAGAATCTTGTAAACACACACAGAACTGTCACAACACGACTTCCTTTTGCATTAAGAATGGTCTTTTCAGAGCAAGGCACAGTAGCTAAGTAGTGGGAAAGCTGCACAGTTGCGAATGTCATTGTGCCTCCTCAGTAAAAGCCTGTTTACTTTCCTCAAAAATCCAATTTACTCTTTGTTCCTGTTTCTTTCTCTGCCTCCTTTTTAATACCTCCTGTCTTTGCAGTAAATGAAAGATTTCAAAAATACCCACAGACCTAAAAAGGGACTGCTGGGATGCCATGAGCTTCCAGGGGCTGTTGTTCCAGTTTGGGAGTGAAGACAAGGGGCTTCCTTTCTTGCTGGTTATTAACTGTAACTGTACCTGGCATTTTGTTTTCCCAGGGAAGAAGCAGCGGCCGCTCGTTATCACTTCCTGGGAGACCTTCTTCATTCATCCCTCGAGCCATGTCTCCTACTTCTCCTCTTATATTCCAGCCTGCCCCTGATTACTTCAGCAAGCCAGACACAGCAGCTGACAAGCCTGGCAAAAGACTGACTCCCTGGGAAGCAGCAGCACGATCTCCCCTCGGCCTGGTGGATGAAGCTTTCGGCCCCCAAAACATGCAGGAATCCATTGCTGCTAACGTGGTATCGGCTGCCCGCAGGAAAACGCTTCCTGAGCCACCAGAGGAATGGAAACAAAAGGTTTCTTACGAGCCTCCAGCCCCAGGTGGTAGCGCAGCCTTGCTGGGGGGGAAGCAGTCGGGTGTCGTGCCACCCCAAAAAAGCTCCCTGTCTGCCCTCGGTGCTCCCTCCCAGGCTGGCTCCCAGCTGCAGTATCCTTACTGCAGCCAGCGCTCCCGAACAGATCCCGACATAATGTCCGTGGATTCCAGGTCTGACTATTGCCTGTCAACAGCTGATTCAAACTACAACCCACAGCCAAGGGGATGGAGACGTCCAACATGAGCAGCTGAAGGGCCTGCTGCGTTTTGCCTTCTTCCAGCTCTACAAGCCTTAAGATCTGAGTTGGAGAAGGAAGGTTTCTTGCTGGCCTGACGATCTCTGAACTAAAGAAGTGAGGAGGTAGAATTGAAAGGAGCACAGTTTTCACGTGACTGCAGGGCCTGAAGCCTCTAGAATAGACTCAGTTTTACACCTAGGATTGTTCTGTTTGTCAAAAGGGCAAAAATACACATTTCTTGGGGTGAAGGGGAGGGGATGAAAGTGGGGCAATCCATGTGCTCGATGCGAAAATCTAGAAAGGATGTAGAAAGTGACAGTACAAGTGACAGTACAAGTTGAGTTAATGTGAAGAAAAAAAATGTAAAATAAGGGCATTTTAAAGGCAAAAAGTATTTTACAGGATCTTGTAGGTTTTCTGGGTATGGTTGACATGAGTTCCAAGGTACTAAATATAGCCAGCTTTGAAGAAGTTCCAATGGAAGTGGAATACTTCGGAGCACTGCCTTATTTGCCATATGTTTTCTTTACTGTGTTTTTATAATGAGCTAAGAAAGTAGATCAGTGGATATTTTTACTGTGGCAACAGCTAAAATACATCTGTGGTCATGGTATCTGAATCAGCCACAGCATGCAGATACAGGAAATCTTACACAGTCACCCATTTCAGATGGATTCCAGGACAGTTTCGATGCAGTTTTACATATTGCAATTAATCACAGGCTCTGAAAGCACCAGGAAGGAAGGAAGGGGTTGTGAGTAGAGGTCAGTACCATGATACTTGAACAACAAAATAGCTGAGGAATGTATTTAAACTGGACTGCAAGTTAATTTTGTAATAAATTATCCAACAGGTGAGAGGCTGAACAGCCTTTATTTCTCTGTGAAATGCACCAATTGCTGAGCATTTACTGCTGCAGTGCCTGCTCACGGGACTGGCTGGGCAGTTCCTTGTAGGAACTGAGTAGCTCAGTGTTTAGAAAGCTTTTGAGTTGTATTTGAAAGACAGAGATTGGTTGTTCATCAAGGGCAATACCTGCTCTCTGTAGAAAATGGTACGTGAGAGAGGGTTTCTGACAGGTGTTACGTGGTATGAGTCTGGTACCAATAGCAAATATTTGGATGGTTGGTTATACTTAAATGATCTCGATGGGCCTGAAGAGATGGTGAATAATTTATGCTGGTGATAAATACCTTGCATTTACAGCTCATTTAAACAATAGAAATACTTGGCTAAAAATATATGTATTCAAGCTTATTTGGGTAGTTTAGATGTTGTTAAAGCATTAAATGGACACCCCAAGTTTTGCGAAGTGCTCTCAGTCCTCCTTGTTTGTGGGGAATTCTTCAAGGATCTGTCAAGCACAGTCAACTACAATTACTGCAGAAGCACAGTTAACTATCCTTAGTTTAAGTAAGGTTGTCAACTGTGAGTGAAGTGATTAGATCAGAAAGAACTAAAACATACATGCAGTAAGAAAAAGCATATTACAAAACATTCCCATCTGCAAAGATTTTTCCCTTTTAGCAATTATAAAACATAATTGGTAGGAAGGAAAAAGGCAAATTGAATCCAAGTTCAGTGGAGTTGGAATTTCCCATAAAAGCAAATAATTACATGAAAAATATACCCCTAATGAGTTTCAATTGGCAGTATTTCTCTAGTCAAACAGAAGTCTCCCTGAAATCAACTGATCCTTCTGGCCAAGCAGGAAATGTAGACACGAGAGTTGTATCCTTTAGACCATGATTACATTGCTGGAGCACCTCACAGATGTCACAAAATACAGATTTGGGGAAAAAAAAAAAGATAATTTAGAAAAATTACATGAACAGAGCTGAAATGAGCTTTGTACCTCAGGGTCATACATGCAGAAAATCAGAGTAAATTTGCCTGCCACACAGGCAAAACTAAATGTTTCTCTGCAGAGTCCCTTTTATCACAACTGGGAATATTCCTACTAAAACCAGTGGGACTGTGAAAGACCCATTAGCCTCGAGGGCTTATCTTTGGCTTATCTCCCTAGAAGAACATGTTAAGTTTTCACTTAATGGCAGTGAAATTATGATTCAAATTTCAATTCAGTGAAATTCATAATTGCAGGTCTTGGCTAATCCATAACTACATGTGTGTTTCCCAGCAGGCCTACATTCTGGGAAGTCTGTACTGCTGACAGATTTTGCTGAACTGTGGTCCCTATTACCACAAAAAAATGGTTCCCTGCATCCAGGTTTCTGTTCTGAACCGTTTCCTTTACATCATTAAACAGGAAACCAGATTATGAGTATGCAGAAAGGCATATTATTACCATTATCACCGTTATTTTAATTCTCAGAATCAGATACCTGACTTTTAAATTCACATTGAAACTAGTGCTGTGAATTCTAATTTCTACCAGAAGGAAACTTGTGCTTTACTTGTGTTTTAAGGTACATGCAATTAAAACTTGATGAAAGTATTTTAAAACTTCGATGTTGCAAGAAAAAGTTATGATATGAGCTGATATTAAAAAGGCTTTAATGCTGTGACCACACGGCAATATGGGAAAACATACTCTAGGATGATGCCTTAATTCTGCACCCAAAATATGCAACAAACATAAGCAAAGAGTGTCAGACAGAATCACTGCCTTTCTGTCAATCTCCCAAGAAAAACAAAGTGCAGACTTATCATTTTCTTCTATTCACAAGAAGGAACTTATCACTGAGTAATTCTGTGAATGGGAGAATTCCTGACATTGAGTTCCATGTCCCTCTCGTAGCTAAATCATAGATTAACTCCAGTGTTTAACATGATCTACTACAGATTTTTTTTTCCCCTCCTGCTGAGGATTTGCCAGCTCCCTTTCCCATGTGGATTCTCTCCTATCTAACAGGGAGTGAGTTCACACTGCAGCATTTCCCTCAATAGCAACACTGGTAAGTGGATCTGGCCTCCACCCAGCTGTCTATTTTTACAAAGTCTCTGGGCGATGGATTGTCTTGGAGATCTATTCCTCTGCCCCACAGAAATGAAATTAATAAACATTTCTGGATTTCTTAGAGGGAGGACAGACATACAGACAGGCATGCAGACAGGTCACACAGCATTGTTTAGAAGGAAATCAGGCTAAATCCAGACTGGGACCATGGACTGATTTCAAAGGAAGCAGCAGGCCCGGACCAGTAAATGAAATATTAATGCATCAGAGTTTTATGAAGGGTCCCACAGCATTTTTCACTTTCTGTTCTTCACCCCATTTCTTCACTAGCCAAGCGTCTTTCTATCAAATAGTTGTGACTGTTGTGCCTGAGTTCTGAATATGTTAATGCAAGCATTTCTTACATTTGTTTTTGAATGCACAGACCTGCTCAGTAAACGTGAGGAAAAAGTTCTCTTGATGCTGGCTTTGTGTTCACCCTCAGAGGTGTCCCTGTTAATAACATGCAGAGCATTTGAAAACACAATATAACTGAAAATTTAGTTTCTTTAGTTATGTTAGGTGATGATGTTCACAACTCTTGTTCATACTTTGTTTTCATTTTGGTTTGCTTTAACACCAAATATCTACTCACGTTGCATTTCTGCCTAGTAGCAAAGACTGTGTTATCTTTATAAAAGACTTTTCACTTCTAAAGACTTTTGCTCACTGCAAAGGACACTTTACTTGAGCCTGCATGCCAGAGATGTAAATTGTATCATATAATAAAGTGATTTGACCAATCAGATGAGAAACACAATTTTGTTCTCCCTAAATTCTTGTCTGTTTGTTTAAATAATCTGAACCCAAGTAAAGCCTAATCTCTTTTTTTCTGCACCATTTTTAGACTCACTGACTTTGCCTGTCAGTGACCTCGTGCTGGTATGAGCCTCTAGAAGCTTAAATCAGCATCAGGTCAAAAGGCAACTTATCAAATTCAGTGGAATTTCATTTCCACACTGACTAAGCAGAGAAAGGAAACACAGTGAAGCACAATCCACCCAGGTTAAGTAATACCCTAAAAACTGCAACTAATATCTATTTACTATTGTTACTTCTCTACCTTACATGCACCTAAACCTCTGTTTAGTTCCTGTGGGTTTGTCCATTGCTATATTCTCTTACTGTTTATTCTCAGTTGAAATATACTGTTCACAAAAGAAATAAATATTGTGAATAAATTGTCTTTACACTATTCAGGCTATTTGGGTGAATAGCTGGTGAGGAAATAAGGGCAGTACATACAATCTATCTGTGGAAAGTCAGATCAGATTTTCACTAGTGACAGGAAACAAATCACAAAGCAGTTTTTGCATTTGTAAAGCAAGCAGGATTTTGTCCCCAGAGCAGGAAAAATGACTGATGCATGTAAAACTTGGGGGAACCGAAAAAGCTCCACAATAGCATTTTAAGAGCTTTGCTCTACAAGGGATTTATTTACAAGGTTACAAGAGACTCAGTACTATTCTTTTCACGGCTATCTTTTCTTTCTTCTTTGGGCAGTTCTTAAATGCATCACAAAAAAAGCCAACTTAAGCCAAATTCACAGTTTAATATTTTCAGTCCAGAAAGACAGGCTGGTGTTTCCAGGCCAGTATCTGGTTTTCCTCAAACTGAACATTTGTTCACTGGATATATTGCTGGGTTTCAAAAAGAAGCTCTGTGTTGCTGCTGAGTCAGAAGCAGCACTCAATGTGCTCTGAAAGGTTTGGTGTTTGTTCACACGTTTTCAGAACTAAAAGAAGGACTCAAGTATTTTATACTCAAAGCAAAATGACGTCGGGAGTGTTTGTGAGCATGCACACCAAGTTGTGGGGCTTTCTGTCTGGATAAAGAAAGGTAATGGCTAATTAACAGATGTTAATGGAGAACTAGGAGAACATATTGTGCTGTGGTACAGTCCAAACACAGCTGGAAGGCCATAATATACTGACCATATAGAAAAGAAGTTGATGATAAATCTCTCGATCTATTTTTACCTTTAAATCAAAACCCGAGGGTAATTTTGCCTAAATAGCAAAAGGTTCATAACTTCTTTTTCCCTGCAAATGAAGAAACTGAAGGAAAGATATGCTACTTGCTGGAAAAACAATGCTGTGTGTTGCCAGTATTTTTAAGCAGGCTCTAGACAAGCAGAATGTGCCCAAGGCAAAAAAAAAAAGGAAAATAAGAAGCTTTACAGAACTCAGAGTCAGAATAACAGATGCACTGGTATATTTTCCCAGCATGAACACACTCACAGAACTGTGGTAGTTATAAAACAATTACCACTTTTCAATGTTTTTAACAATTTGCTAAGCCATCTTAATTTTAATCTTCCTGTTATCAGTGGATGCACTCGAGTTTAATCTCAGAGAGTCAGTAATTTTTGGAAAAGAAGAATCAACATAAAGTCAGCATATGCTCAGCTCTGTGGTATTTCTAATTTTTTTTTTTTTAAACAGAAAAGCTAACAAGCATAAATGCAGGATTTTTGATCAGGTGCTCAACAGCTACTCTGATTTTTAGTTGTGTTCAAGACAGTTCATATTTACAGCTAAATTCAAACATCTTGCCTATTAAATAGTTTGTATTTTGGAACACGGAACTCAAAGTGAAGCTCTCTATTGAATTACTTGCATGCACAAAATAATAGTTAAAGCTGTCATTTCACGAGAAATAAATACATAACTTTTTCTAATTTCCAAGTAATTCCCCACTATGGCTCCACATCATTTCAGGTCTTAAGCAAAAGTTCAAGATTATTCTGTCCACTGTGTCTATGAAGTCCGCTATTCTTTACTTGCTGTGGCAGTTTAAAACACCAAGAGATTTTCCATGTGGTGGTAAAAAAAAAAAAAAAAATTAAAAATATCAATGTAGAAATTAATAAATCTACCTACTGAATCCATATGCCCTCAGATATATGGATAGATGAGGATCAAAGAGTTTTTGACAGAATGGAGAGTGCAGGAAGGCAGGTGATTATGCATGTTCCTCTCTCTTTCTGCTTATACAGGTATTTCTTCAGCACAACTATTGCAAAATCTTTGGCATGTGAATTATTTTTTTAAAGGGTGAAGCTGTTACAGGAAGTGAAATTTTAATTCTGATCACATTAGGATAAGAACACGGTTAAATTAGAAGCAACACCTCATTAAGTTGGATAGTAAAATAAAAAGACAAAGAAAGAAACAGAATACACAGCTCTGTTTCTGGATCTGGGGGGGCTTTTGTGCTACAGCACATGCTGGTGCAGTGAGTTGTGAAAGGACTAGTGGCTGTGGAACTGTGCTGCCTACCTGTGCAATGCCAGCCCAGAAGCTCTGGAACCATGTTCTTGCAGGGCTGCACCTGAATTTATTCCTCATCTAACCAGGCTTGATCTGGTATGAGAAAAGAAGTCCCAGCACCCCAGACACAGGCTGACATCACCCTGAACCCATCTAGGTTTGTAGAGGTCAGATTGGAGAGTTCTGTATTTGTGACACGGATCAACAACAGACCAGATAATTCACCCAAGGACAGTGAAGAGAAGATGGTTGTTATTAAGGCAGCCACAACAATCCTGAAGTTTAGGTAGATGCTTTTTCAAAATCACTGTGGAAGTTTCTCAAAGGAACAGATCCCCACTCATCTCCTCCTGTATTTTAGTGAGCTGTTATTTACCCTGCAGAATTAGATACAGATCACTGTGTTCTGGGTGTATACTACTGGAGTTAATACTGTGTATTTAACCTCAAATGGGTAGCAGCATGACCAGAGGTTTGGATGGCAGCAATCCAAATGGATAACATTCAGGGAGTAGCAACAGTACTTTTATTTTTTCCTTGTGACCTTTGTAATAGTTTCTACTCCTTTGAATGCTCTGCCACAAACTGCACTGGAGGGCAGAGAACACAAAGGTGCTTCAGGACTAAGTTCACAACTACAGTGAGGATTAAGGGCACATTGTAACTCTTTTTCCCCAGATAATAATTTGACTGTTTGTGCCCTTTATATTTATTACTTTCCCATTTTAAATTTTTGCCATTATTCACGATCTCCCTTTCGGATGCTCTAGTGTGTATGAGATGCATTGTATTTTGTTGACAAAGCATATAAACCTCCTGAAAAAGCATAGTTAAACTAAAAACCAGGTAAAAACCATGAAAAAAAAATAAAATCATGTGTGACCAGTAAAGCAGACAGATTCTATTATATTAGACCATAGGATGGGGTAGGTTTCCAAGCTTCTGTTTCCCTCTGTGTTTTAGGGACTGGTGCAACCCCCAGAACACACCTGACTCTGGTCCCTGTCACACAGTGGCACAGACAGAAACACAGCTGGGAGAGCACAAGAAGACAGAGCTAAGACAAATCAGCAGGCAATAGTGCTAAGCCTACTGGTATACTATGCCAGTAAATAAAAATAAGTTAAAGATATTATACTTAATTTTATCATCTTTTATTAAAAAGCTAAGCAGAATGGTATGTTGTGGACACTCAGCAGTGTGAAGACCCTATGCAGTCCTGTACTTATCAGCAATAACTAATCTGGTTAGGTAATTTCATTTATTGTCTGCTAAAAGATGGTCCATTTGTCACTAAACACTTTAAACTTACTTACTGAATATTATCATGTTTATCTCTCTCAAGTTTTTCAAGCCCAAAACAGGACAAACACTTTAACTAAGCCTAGTGCTGTCCAACAGAGGGCAATGGTACACAATCCATATAATCTATATTATTTCCTCTCCCTGACAAGGCCTCAGTTTCAACAGAGAAGCTCTGGCACAGCTGGAGAACTGTCTGGCCACCAGAACCAGGCAGTGTCATTATCAGCACATCCACACAAACACTGGGGCAGAAGCAGAACTCAAATGCCATAAAACTTTACAGCTTGAGCTAAAGAAGATGGTATAGGAGGGATTCCTACAACCCTGTTTAATGAGGGCCACAGACATACAAGCTAATTATTCCTGACCTCAACCCCACGGGGTGGACAGACATCATTATCCCGCTGCACAAATGGAAGAAAACATGACGATGAGAGAACATGTGCACTGCCCAGGGCTGCCGGGACAATGGCAACACTGGACCTCAACTCAGGCATTCCAGCTCTTGCCTTCACCTATAATCTACTGACTATTCATAGAAGCAATGCATATTTCACAACCAGCACAATCCCATTCTTACAGCTCAGAAAACAAATAGCCAGGAAGCTCCAGATCCTTCGAAGGACCAATCTAGTCATTCATGAGACCGATTAAGTTGTGGCCCCATCTGCCAGACAAACTTCACCAACTTCTGAAAGAATGTGAAGCTTTGGAGTTGCTTACTTATAGTAATCACAGCTGAGTGAACAGAGATGAACCTCAAAAGGTAGTAGAAGGGGTAGTTTGAAAAGTCAGAATAAAAGGGGAGTCTGCATTTGCTTATCACAAAGGAAGCACCTGCCTTCTCCCATATCACCACTCTAGTCTCATTTAAAGTCTATAATAAAATAAACAAAATCAGAAGTTTCTGTTAAATCATGAGTTTTCTCATGAGCCACTGATAAATCATCACTGGCAATGTCTTCAGTCTGATGTCTGTTACTAAGGAGCACATGTTGGTTTTGTATCTGTCCCAACAGTAATGCAAAATAGACACTCAACTGCTACCCAGGGGCTCAGCTGTGCCACTAAAGGGAAAAGAAAGGCACAGCCATTTTCAAAGGCATCAGATGAAGGAGTTTCTTCCACTAACCTGGGGAAAAGGTGACATACATGAAAAATTATGTCACTGTTGATGGTGTAAGAGTTTCTCTTGTGACTCCTTGAAAACTGCTTTAATAGGAAGTTGCATGATTAACTTAAAAATGAGTGAGCAAAACTTGACCAACTTGCCACTTCTTTCTCAACAAAGTGGAGTTAACAATTAATCTCTGCTTCCAAACAGGTGGCATAACAATAAATGCAGATAAAATCAGTGTGCTGGCAAAGCATTTTTATAACCAAAAAGCTTAAAGAAAACAACCTGTTATAAACAATTAGCAATGCATAGAAAACAGCACACCCACTTCTAATGAATCTTCCTTAAAAGCATAGCAGTAAGGAACAGTCTTGGGATAACTTACAAACATATAGTAAGTTTATACGACTATCTGACCACAAATTTCAGCACTGTAGACATG